TTTAAACGAATCTACACATATCTTGTTTACTTATCTTGATTTTGAGTGGGTCTATTTAATTTTTTTGCAGGCACATGCGGATACAAATCTCACCACAAGCTGGATTCTCTTATCTTTTATGAGTGTAGTTAGCAGAATGAAACATGAATGGGCCATGGTGTGTTGTTTTTTCTGTGTGGACAATGGTCACATGTTTGATTCTCGTATCTATTATTTGTACTTGATGTTCCTATCACCACAAGCTTGTAATTGTTTAGTACTCTCTTGTTCTATTTATATGCTTCCTCTTGTAGTTTTCTTATGTATCCGAGTTGGTGTTGTCATAGATTATTTATAAACTCTTTTCATCCTTGTAAGCGTTTGAGTGTTTGCATTTCTCTTCTAAACTCTACTTCATCATCTTAAGCACCTTGTTCCTACTTTTAAGTGTTTGCACTTCTCTTCTTTTCTAGTTCATCATCTTAAACACCTTGTTCCTACTTTTAAGTGTTTGCACTTCTCTTCTTTTCTAGTTCATCATTTTAAACATCTTGTTCAGCTTTCTTATTTCAAACACAAATCATTTTAAAAAAAGATATGGCATCTTCATCCAACAACAATTTCGATGGATCCTCTTCATACCTCAATTTCGATCAAAACTATGAAGAAGGATATGATGGTGGATCTTCTTCAAACATCAATGTTGGTGGATCTTCTTCAAACATCAATGTTGATGGATCTTATCCAAACATCAATTATGATGGATCTTATTCAAACCTCAACATTGATGGATCATATTCAAACATCAATTTTGATGGATCATATCAAAACATCAATTTTGATGGATCATATCCAAACATCAATTTTGATGGATCTTCGTCAAACACCATTGAGGAAGCATTTGATAAATGGTTTGATCAAATATTCGATCAAACTTATGACAAACTTTTCATTGAATATGGAAATCATTTGGAAGCACCAAAATCAAGAAAAAAACAAGCTTACATCGAAAGAGATCGTGAAGAAGGGCACAATCGGTTGTGGAACGATTACTTCAGTGATGATAACGTATCCTTCCAATTTATTCCGGCGACGTTTTAGGATGAACAAGCATTTATTTTTACATATCGTCGAGAAACTATCTACTGAAGTTCATTACTTCCGTCAGAAAAAGATGGTCTAGGAAGGTCTAGTCTCTCTCCACTCCAAAAATCTACAGCCGCCATTCGTCTACTAGCATATGGAACAACGGCTGATACGGTGGACGAATATCTCCGACTTGGTGAAACCACCACTCGGGCATGTTTGGAACATTTTGTTGAAGCTATTATTAATTTGTTTGGTGATGAGTACTTAAGAAGAACCACCAGAGGACCTCCAACGCTTACTCTATATTGGAGAGGAACGAGGATTTCCAGGAATGATCGGCAGCATCGACTGTATGCATTGGGAGTGGAAGAATTTCTCTAGCGCTTGGAAAGGACAATTTTCTCGTGGTGCGGGAAAACCTACAATCGTGTTAGAGGCGGTAGCTTCATATGATCTTTGGATATGGCATGCTTTTTTTGGACCTCCAGGTATTTTAAACGATATAAATGTGCTTGATCGTTCACCCATTTTTGATGACATAATTCAAGGTAAAGCACCAGCAGTCAACTTTATCGTCAATGGACGGGAGTACAATTTGACATATTATCTCACAGATGGTATTTATCCAAAATGTGTGACTTTTATACAGTCTATTACACTTCCCCAATCTTCGAAGGCACGTTGTTTTGCGGAGCGGCAAGAAGGTGTCCGAAAAGATGTAGAGCGAGCATTTGGTGTCTTGCAATCTCGCTTTGCCATTGTCAAAAATCCGGCACTTTTTTGGGATAAAGAGAAAATTGGAAAGATTATGAGAGGTTGTGTGATCCTCCATAACATGATTGTAGAAGACGAAAGACAAGGATACAATCTACTAGATACTATTCAAGAATTTCAACCAGGAGACGGAAGCGAAAATTCTAATGTGGATATGTCGTATTCCACAGCCATGGCTTCAAATATTACCGATATGCTGACAACTCAGAAAAAAGTTCGTGATATACAGCAACATCATCAATTGAAATTTGATTTGGTCGAACATGTATGGCAAAAATTTAGACATTTTTATGATAACAACTAGAGTTTATGAGAAGTTTTGTTTTATTTGTATTAATGCCTTGTACTAAATCTTATAATTAAGTTTTTCTCATAAAATATATTATTATTATTATTAGTTTTTTTTTATTAGAAACCGATTCCGTTTCTAGCAATGTTCACCAATAAAAACGCTGTCTCTACACGGTCTCTAAACACAGTTTTCAAAACCAAACAATTAATAAATATGCTGAGGAGACCCATATGGGTCTTTGGGTTGAGGATGCTCTTACTTCAGTGAGAAACTAAGTGGAGTTGCCCTGAACTATCCCACATATGACAAGGAGTTGTATGCACTGGTGCGATCATTGGAAACTTGGCAACATTACTTGTTGGCCAAGGGATTCGTCATACACATTGATCACGAGACACTCAAGCATCTGAGAGGTCAAACAACGCTTAAGAGAAGGCACGCAAGATGGCTAACGTTCGTAGAAGCTTTTCCTTGTATCATCAAATACAAGAAGGGAAATGAGAACATAGTCGCTGATGCTCTATCTAGAAGATACACGTCATGAACACTATAGAGGCAAAAGTAATGGGGTTTGAGCACATCAAGGAGAACTATGAAGACGGTCCAGACTTTGGTGACATCTTCAGAGAATGCCAAAAGGGAGTATTTGGTTTATTTTACTTACATGATGGCTTTCTGTTTAGAGATAAACGTTTGTGTATCCTACAGGGTTCAATGAGAGAACTTCTAATGAAAGAATCTCATGGAGGAGGCTTGATGGGGCATTTTAGAGTGGACAAGACTCTAAGTATTCTAGTTGAGCATTTCTTCTGGCCACACCTCAAGAGAGATGTGGAACGATTTTGCTCGAGATGCATCATATGCCTTAAAACCAAATCCAGGTCACATCCCTATGGACTCTATATGCCTTTGCCAATTCCTAACAAGCCTTGGGTGGATATATCTATGGACTTTGTTCTAGGATTGCCAATGATAAGAAACAGGGATTCAATATTTGTGGTGGTGGATCGATTGTCAAAGATGACACACTTCATTCCTTGTGCCAAAACAAATGATGCCTCACAAACTGCTGATCTATTCTTCAAGGAAGTGGAACACCTAAATGGTTTACCTTGCACCATCGTATCAGTCAGAGACACAAAATTTTTAAGTCATTTCTGGAGGACCTTGTGGAGGAAGCTCGGTACCAAACTGCTTTTCTTTACCACTTGTCATCCCCAGACCGATGGAAAAACTGAGGTGGTGAACCGCACCTTGTCCACCCTCTTAAGGACCACAGTCGGTAACAATTTAAAGAATTGGCTAGATTGCATTCCTTATGTTGAGTTTGCTTATAACCATGCCACCCATTCGGGAACTAAGCTTTCACCTTTCGGATCGTGTATGGATTTAAGCTAGAAACACCTCTTGATCTAAAGCCATTGCCACCACTAGAGTTCACAAAGCAATATAGAGAAAACAAAGCCGATATCATCAAGAAGCTCCATCAAAAGACCAATGATAACTTGGAAATGAAGACAGCCCAATACAAGAAGTAAGCTGACAAGAACCGCACGGAGCTCATTTTCGAGCCAGGAGATTGGGTCTGGATTCATATGAGGACGGCACAAGCATCAAGTCTACATCAACATCAGAATGGCCACTAATAAGGACTCAAGGAACTCGCATGATCTTCACCATTGAAGCTGCAAACGACTGAGTGTCAAAACGACACCAAGGTGAGTGTTTCATTTATTTTTAACTCATGATTTTCCCTCGTCTTTGTTTTTCAGGTTTTGTTTTAAGTCCTTTAGTTATTTTAGTCTTTTAAATCGAGTCAGAAACTTTAGATTGTTTCCTTTTTCTTTTATTTTCATTTTAAGAGAGTCTATCACAAGTTCTTTCGTTTTTGAGTCTAGAGTCGACCCTATAAGGTCAAGGCCGAAGGACTGTTTATAAAGTCCTACATGTGGCATTGTATGAGATAATTTTTTAATCCTAAATCAATAAAGAGCGTATTTTCTTAGAGCAGCCGCCTCTTCTTTGAGTTCTTGAGCATTCGTGTGGTTTCCCCTTGTGTTCTTGAGTTCTCTGACTTATCAGAGCTTCTCCATCAGCTGTGTGGCGTCACATCGATCCCCTTGGTCCTTTGTTCATCATCCGTTCACCAATCTAAGTAAAGAGAGCCTCTCGGCCAGTTACTTAGATTCCATCTCTCCACACCCGATCATACCTTCTCTAAGTGAAGAGAACCTCTCAGCCAATCACTTGGATCCATCCTCACTACCACCCCAATCTTATATCAGGCGGGGACTTAACAAATATGTTGCAAGCCCCCAAAAACAGTTCCTAAGACAAAGCTCTTCCATAGTGATAGAAGAATGGTGTCCTCAAGGACAACTGCATGGATCTGAGTCCAAGCAATAATATACAAAAACCGGGTTGAAATATTTGATATCCTTCTAAGAACTTTGAAGCTTGGCTGCATGGCACACCAAGATTAAGGTTGACTATGAGAGGAGGAAGGTGGAAAGCTTTTTTTGTGAAAGGGAAAGGAAGGAGGCCTGTTATGTTGTTGGAATTGGCGTCCATGGCCGTCAACATGCAAAACTTGAGGAAGGTGCATGAAAGGAAAGAATTGCCTAGAACGGCTAGGGTTTTTACTCAACCCTCTTAAAGATACTATTACATTTGACGTTTAAATTTGAGTAATATGAATGTTGTTTAAGTGTGGAACTTTGCTATAATGCTCAAAGTGCTCCGTTGTAGATAAAAGAACTAAGTACAAAGTTTTTGTTTTTTTCGTTTAGACTAAGTACAAAGTTATGTACTAATATACTATGATACTGGCACTAACAATAAATTATCAAAAAACTAACTAACTTGATGCAAATTTAAGGTTCACATTACATATGAATCCACTCACATGAGCATATCAATATTTATAGTTAGGAATATATGATGAAAACACATGTAACTAAACCAAGTTGACTTTTTTATAGTTATTCAATATACAATACAAAATTCTCCTCCCATAACCAGCCTTGAACGATCTCTCCAGAAACAGACTTCAATTTAATGTCATGTTTGCAGAAGTTTTTCTGATTGGAACGACCTATATGCCAAAGTAACAAAACGATCAATAAACTCGTCATATTCGGTAATATAATAAAAACTAATTGGTGGGGAGATGTTACCTGATCAGTACTCGACGATTCACTCATCACCGTCTTCATCTTCTTGGAGCTTCCGTTTTCGCCATTTGTTACTTCGTTAACAAAGTTCTGGTCAGATACCTCTGTTTTGAGAAACATCAGAGACAAACATAAAACAGTTTTAGTTTACAAAAATTCTAAACAAAATATCCAAAGAGAGGAATTAAACTTCCGCATACCTTCTCCAATGCTGATTTGATCCCGGTCACGCGAATGAGAGCAGCCTTCCCGTAAGATCTGCTTGAGACTCGAGGCTGAGCCAGAGCTGCATATGACTATTCCTTTCTTCTCATTTGAGCTCACCACTTGGTTCTCGAGCTCATCCGTTACAGGACTTTGAGTCTTGGGTAAAGGTTTATAGTGCTTGATCCATGGACTTCTAAGAAACTCGTGAGAACCACCACCACCACCACCGTGTCTTCCATTGATGCGATGTTCAGGTTGTTTCACATTCATCTTCTGCCAGAAACCATCACGAAGAACCTTGAACTAGTATCAAAACAAAATATTGACATGACTAAATTCGATAAATCACAGAAACTTATGAACCCTTAGGAGTATAAAGCAAGATATCAAAACAGAGGAAAACAGAGGAAAACAGAGGAAAACGTCTCATACCTGTTCATCAGAAGGTTTCCTACCGCTACTGAACTGAACATCCGGTACAGTCTCCTTGTTCGAATTCGAACCCAGCGAACCGAGAGACTTATAAAGCTGATGTACAAATGAAGCTTCCATGGATTTAAGATACAAGCTATGCTTCTCATCAGTCCATTCTATAGGCATATACTCTTTTCCCGCAGAATACTACAAACATTTTACAAAAAAAGTAATTAGCAATTAGAAACTAATTAATCTCAATGAATACACATTTCGCAAAAAAAAATTAGCATTTTGTTTCAAAGAACAACTCAAATTATTCGTAGAAAACTAATAATGTTTTTAAAAAAATACTAATATGCAGATATCTGTATAGACGAAGCATGATTAACAAAAAAAACAGGTGACTACTTCGTTTTGTGAACTAAATTTAGAAGTAAGAACTGCAATTAAAGATTATTCACTAATGGATATGATAATCTAACCATTTTTGTTCGACATTTGTTCCGATAAACTCCTCAGTGAATTCACTCAAAAACACAATACCACCATTAAAACCGGCGAAATTTTTAGCAAATTTAGATCTGAACAGTGAAAACGACGGAGATTCCGGCGAAGAAACAGACATGCAATAAGAAAAAAGCAGAAAAGACATGAAATATACCATGGAAGAGGTCGTCTCTTCCTCCACGGAAGAAGCACCGTCGGAATCGGAATCATCGGAGCTCCGGCTAAAGCTCCCTCTGTAATCACCTACCATTGGCAATCTTGTGGAGGAAGAGGAGAGAGAAAGAGAGAGAAAATATCCGAAGAAAGAGAGAGAGCAAGAAGGTGGAAAAAGAGAACAAAGAACGGTACAGTTGTAGACGCTTTTACACGTGGTAAGAGTGACACGTCATCACCGGTCAATTTGGCGGAAACGAGTTTAGATATTTTTCAAAAAAAAATATCAAAGATATTTTCTACCAGTACAAAATATCTTCACACCGTCTTTATTATATAGTCCCTTTTTTATTTTTAATAATTTATTGTGGGCCAGGCTTGCCTCATGTTTTTTTATAAGACAATCAATCTCTGTTATTCATCATTTCTTATCCAATGGGATTAGAGGCGACTCATTCTCGAAATCTCTCATAATAGCATAAAAAGCTTTTGAGATTGCCCTTTTTGGACGGCTTTTTATAAGATTGTTTATAGGGGATCCACTTTTCGTTAAAATCAGTGATCTATAATATGCTATGCGGTTGACGGGTTGAGCAATGAGCATCGTATAGCATCTAAACTTATATACAACTGCATATATATAAAGTATATAGTCCTCTATTCTGAATTAAATAATATTTAAACATTGTGCACACAGATTAAAAAAATCTTGTATAATACCATTTATAATATTTTTAATTGAATTTGGAGTTTTTTTACTGGAAATTATATCAATAATTAAGAGCTAATAAAGTCATTTTATGTTAACTTTTGCATCTATGTGTGAGAACACCCTTTTTCAAAAATATATTTGTGAGAACATTACTGATTTGAAAGAAAAAAAATCTCATAAAACATCAATTAATTCAGAAAATGAGTAATACTAAATATAAAGATATGTAAATCTTATATATAAAAGATGGCCAACTCTCTCCATATGAGTGCCACCTCAGCATTTTAGTGTTAATATGGAAATGACATGTGTCAATTTTTAATTTAAAGTTATAATTTTTAAATAAAATTAATTAATAAATTTTAATATTAAGTTCTTAACCACTCAAAGAAAATGAAAAGTTTTTTATTAATTGATTCTTAAATAATATTAATGTAAATATTGAACAATTTATGTTATAATTAATTAAAAATATTGATGGTTTTTTGGTATAAAAATTTAATTTTTTAATGATATTGCATTTAAAATTGATTGATTTATAATAATATATCAATTGATGATTATGTTTTTTTAGAAAAATAAAAAATATATAAATTTGAAATAGTTGAAAAAAAAAACCCGCAAGTTATGTGCGGGTATCTTATATATAAAAGTTGCTCAACTTTCTCCATAGGCTTGACACATCAGCATTGGAGAGGTTGACACCTATCACTTAAATTTTAATTAATAAATTTTAATATTAAATTTTAAAGCACTTAAAGAATATGAAAAGTTTGTTTTATTAATTGACTCATAATTAACATTTATATTAATGTTAAACAAACATTTATGTTATAACTGATTAAAAATATTAATAGATATGTATTTAATTTTTATATAACTGTATATTACTTAATAACATTCTAGATGTATTTTAAATTATTTTTTTAAGATTATTTATAATAAAATACTAACAAGTAACAAATGAAATGATGATTATATTTATTTTAATTTTTTATTAATTAATTATTAATTAATATTTGTGTAAATGTTAAACAAAAATTTATGTTATAACTAATTAAAAATATTGAATGATACTTATTAATTTTAATATAATTTTAAATTATTAAATAATATTCAACATGTATTTTAAATTAATATTTTAAAATTTTTAGAATAAAATATTAACAAGTAAGTAAATAACAAATGATGATTATATTAATTTTTATAAAATTATATTAAAAAAAAAATTTTAAATTGATAAGAAAAACCCGCACGTAACGTGCAGGTGTTCACCTAGTATGTTTTAATATATATAGTAAATGTTTAAAATTTACTAACTCAAATTATCGTCTCAAATTAATCAATAGAATTTTGTTATATGTGAAAAAAGCCCAGTTAGATTTTTAGAAAGTAAAGCTACTAAATAAAAAAAAATGAAAAACAAAATGAAAATGTAACTTAAAACTGCAATTACTAATTGGCACGAATTAAGCCCGGTTGACGAAGGAACTATACCAAGAAAATTGGGTCGAACGGAATCTTAGGGCGAACTTGGCCACAGCCGAAATTGGCACGAATTAAGTCTGATTGACGAAGGAACTGTACCGGAAAGATTGGGGCAAACGAACTCCTAGGCCAAACTTGGCCCATGAACGCGGAGTCGATTGGAACTTCTCAAAAGAATCGAGAAAGTTCTTGAGATCGGATTAAAAAGGAAACTCCTGAATGAAAAGGAAACTCCAGAGTAAAAAGGAAAGCCCTCTCGGTCCCATATCGAGGAGATATCTCGTGAAGACCAACTTAGAGCACATATATAAGGGGAGAAGAATCGACACCAGAAGACACAAGAAAATTCCAAGAGGCTTAGAAGACCGAGAACTCAAGATATTGCTAACTTTTTAGTTTCCTAAGTCTTAGTTCGTTTATTATTCTCATAAACAAACTCAATTGTACTTTTCCGATCTGATATTAATAAAAACCAAATTTTCGATCTAAGTTACAGTTTTGCCCTTTTGTCGATATCTTATATCAACAATTGGTGCGTCAGGTAGGGGGCTTTACAGGAAAACACAATTTTTAGATCGGAGTACGGAAAAATCAGATCGGAGTATGAAATGAGCATCCCCTCGGACGAGAGCACGGTGATAACCAAACTCCCGCAGGGGAAACAGGGGGAACCCTTGCCGGTACCAGCACTCGCATAAACGCCAAAACAGGGAATAAGGGAATTCTCCCAACGAACTTCTTCACCGGAGCTCTCGATGCTGAGCTACTCCTCCAAGCTTTTACTGCACAGTTCGAAGCTATCAACAAAAGAAGTGAGGAACGCTTCAGCCAGATGACAGCTCAGGTCGCCGAACTCAGCCAAACCTGAACTCCGTTGCGAGCTCGTAACATCATTGACGATCTCAACACAGAGAATGATCCCATTGGGACCATGCGATCCACTGCTCTTGAGTCAGCTCCAGCTCTGACAGATCCAACTCGTGATGCTGAGATCAAGGCAACAAAGGCACAACTTTGCCAAATCACATCAAAAATTCATCGAGGAACGAGCGTGGCTCAGGAGATCGATCATGTTATCCAAGAGACACAGAAGACGACTTTCACCCCGCACATCGCGGACACACCCGTTCAGCACTTGGAAAAGCTCAAAATCAAGATTTATGAAGGCAATACTGACCGCGTCACTTCCTGGCCTTGTTCGGGATTTGCATGAACCGATACCAGTTTTGGTCGGCTGAAGAACAAGATGCGGTCCAATGCTAACTGTTTGTCAAAAGCCTCGGTGGAATTGCTCTTGATTGGTTCTCCCGACTCGAGGCGAACTCGATAAACAACTACAAGGAGCTAATCACAGCATTCGTCAAGCACTTCTCAATGTTTATCAGACAAAACAAGAAGAATCCCGAACTATGGCAGAGTGCTCAAGGAGAAAACAAAAGCTTGCGTGACTTCAATTATCGCTTTAAAACGGTAGTAGCCCACTGTACAATGAGCGATGAAGCCGCTCTCCTATGTCTACAAAAATGAGCTCGGATCAATTCCAAAATGCAATCAAACATAACTCACCCCTCACTCTAGAGGACGTTTTACAACGAGCTAACACATACATAGCGGAAGAGGAAGAGGAAGCTGCCCACGACCAGAGTTATACGCCAAAACAGGTCGAGTTTAAGGAGCGACCCAAAACCGATACATATGAGCATCGGTCAGGTTACGACAGAGGATATGAGAACCATAAAAATTTCTATACTAACACCATCAATGCAGTCCAGCAACCGGGCAAGCAATAAAATAAGTATTACCGGACTGGCGAGGATGACTTTTTGTTTTGCGAATTTTACAGCCGCAGAGGTCACAACACTGAAGAATGTAGACATCTGAAAGAATACATACTCGCGCAATACCAAAAAAGGCAAATCTCACTTGACGACCTCCGCTGCTCAACTACACAAAGAAGCAGATCACCACGACCTAATAATACACAATCCGATGGCCAAGCCCCATCAAAGGACCTGCCAACTTTACCACCTCCTCCACCGATGTTATGAAATCCACCCACCCAACCTAAGCAGCAAAAGCGCAACCGCGACGAATCAACACCAGAGAACCATGCTCCCAAAGCCAGAAAGCGCGTTAACATGATCATGGGAGCCTTCGAAGTCTGCAGTTACTCAGTTCGGGCAATCAAGGAGTACAGTCGACAGGCCGCCACTGCACCTAAATTTCCAAACGCTACTGCGAAAGAAAAGCCCTTGGTATTCACTGAAGCTGACACGATCGGACTACACATGCAGCATAACGATGCTCTAGTCGTCAAACTCCTTCTAGAAGATGTCGAGGTCAGCCGAATACTTATTGATACCAGCAGCTCAGTCAACATAATCTTCAAAGACGCACTCGACCAACTCGACATCCCAGCTGATAAAATTGAACCTTTCATCGCACCACTCACCGGGTTTGACGACGAACGTTGCATGACGGTCGACACAGTGAAAATCCCAATCTACCTCGCCGGAGTCGCGAACATCATCCAATTCCTCATCCTCGTCAAACCAGCAATCTACAATGCTATTTTGGGAACACCTTGGATCCATGCGATAAAAGCTGTTGCCTCAAGTTTCCAACCCCTGACAACATATACACCCTCTAAGGTAATTAAACTATAGCTCGGTCATGATACATCAACGAATGCAAACTCCAATCGGCCAACCACGCTTGCATTATCAGCTCTCACAGTACAACAACCGACCTCATCATTCAAAAGTCAAAACCAAAACAAGAGGTCATCACCCAAGTCTGCATTGACGAGCTACGACTAGAGCACCAGGTCGGTATCGGCGCTGAGCTTGACCCGAAGATCCGGGAATGCCTCGTTCACTTCTAGAAGTAGCAATCCGGGAATGGTCGGTTGAAGATATACCCAGAATGGATCCACAGATCACCTGTCACGAGCTCAACATTGACCCAACTTACAAAC